ATTAAGTATATTTAAATCTCATAAATATAACAGAAACTAACCCATATGTTTTTCAAATTTATGTGATCTACAATAATTTTTGGTAAATAAAATCTAGTTTAAGTTTGTTGGTTTAATTAATACAGGTATGTCTTTAGAGTTATCAACATTAAGTATAACACTTTTTTTCTACCTAGGTTTACTGAAACTCAAATAAGTTTATCTTATCTCTGTTATAAAATTTGTCATCAAGAAAAATAAGGTGATGGTTAATAACTTGGTTGTATTGTTAAATATTCAATCTTCAGGAGTAATCTAAGTATGATTATTTTTTAAAAATGAATTAAATAGATGTAAATAAGATAAGAATGTTTAGGTGAACTTTTTAAGTTAATTGCTTTACGATATATCCATTTAGTTTCCCAAATCTCTTTAACTTCCACCCTTAGAATTTTGCTAATTGAAATGATGGGGATTTATTAAATGTCTGATAATTTCCAGATAAGATCAAATGCTGAGACATTAATTGCTGAACAAGTCTATCTAATTTTGACTTCTTATTACAGAGTCTAAAGATACTTTAGTCTATTCATAAACATGACATATGCCACATTGAAAATTTGTGCTATGAGGAAATGTATGTTTCTAGAAATTATGGAATGTATTCATAAATTTGCCAGTCTAAAGACTGCTGGTATAATAGTTCACAATTGCTTACTTCATAGTTTTCACTAGAAATTAAAGTTTCTAAGGGTTAAGAATTCTAATTAACATATATGATTAAAGCTATTGGAAATAATAAGGGAAACAACTTTATAGCAAGGAAAGTAGGATGTGTTTTTGGTTAGAAAAGGTATGAGATATGAAGATGCATTTTTGTTGAGGGAAAATAAAAATAATTTTTTCTTAAAATAAAGCTGAATGTTAAAAAAAAACAACAAGGGATGAACTAAAATGGACATAGAAAGTTGTAGAAGGTTTATGAAAAAGGAATCTAAGAAAGAAAGTTTATGTGTGATCAATGAATTTGTTATAAAGTTTTTAAAAATAAGCTTTAATATCAATAATGTACTTAGGTAAAACTAAGCCTTAATTTTCCTTCATCTGCTAAAAGAAAAAGGTTTATTGGACTATTTGTCTGCTCTTGTGAAAGGTTTTTTTTTTTTTATCTTTAATGTAATCTGCCTAGAAAAACAAAGATTCTATGTTTTGCCTTTATCGGCTTTTTGATCATTTTAAAAAAATTGTATCTTTTCTATATTAAAATGCTAAAGCTTTGTACAACTATTTAACCTTCTGTATTTGCCTGTGAAGTCTTTGTTGTCATGGTTAAATGAATAAGTATTGTTTCACAATAAATTACGATCCTATTTGGCCAAGTGTTCTAAAATCTCTTGATATTTTTGGCAAACTTCCCCCAAAATCAAATTCTAAATGAAGTCTTTTTGACCAAAAACTAACTTTGAGAATTTCTAGAGGGCACCTGGAGCATCCCAAAGGATATATTCTCTCTACTTACAAAAGGAGAGAGATTAAACTAATTAGGTATATTTGATATGTTAAATTACATGGGAAACATTATCAAATAAGTGATAATAAACCTTCTGAGGTTATATTGTATGGGTAAATGTTATTAATGTAAGTGTTCTAGAAAATATATAAAATTCCTAAAAATCTGATATGTCCTAGTATAATGTTATTGTTTGTAATTCTAATTACTATTTTAAAATGTGTGTCACAAAAATAACCAAATTTCCTTGTCAATTACATTAATGAATTCTCATTTGATAATCATGGTCATTTTTAAGTCTTTTTGCTTTTTCAGGTATGTTTCATCTTCAGAGAAATTCATGGAAAGGACTCTTAACATATTCTAAAATACTGTCTCTGTTAACTTTCAGACTGTACCACTAAACTAGGTAAGAAGTTACAAAACACTAATAGAGAAACAGATGGCTTCATAAAACTACTAACTAAAGATCAAGATCAACAAGAATTAATTACATGGGACTGAATGAATAGGATGATTATAAATTTTACGACTTTTTTTTTTGAAACATTGTTAATTTTTGTTAATGTTTTGTTTTCCAGATATAAGGAAAACTTTCCTCTTAAACTATGACTTACAGAAGTTTGGTAAATTATTCCTTTGAAGCAGACATTTACCTTTTTCTCCCTACCTGATTCCTCCAGAATTTGAAAATTCAATGAGTATTCTTTATGGCAATATAGTTATTTGCATAAGTTCACTAAGAATCTGTTCTCTTTATAACAGGACACAATTGGAAGCACTGGCTATATTACCAAGGCTTTGACTGGGATGTCATGCCTTTGAGAGAAGCATGCATAAACTCAGATATGACTAAACAGGTTTAAGGAACTAAGGTTGACTTAATGGAGCCAATAAAGCCCCTTGAAAAAAGTCTGGTACCTTGCTTACAGGGTTCCCAGATAGCCTAACCAGGTAAAAAAGGTCACTTCTTGGCAAGTGCTGGAACCTCTGAACAGGTTGTGGACCTCAAAATCAAAGGAATTAACCCAAACCTTCAGATATTGCAGGGGAAATCTGATGACAAACAAGTCCTTAGCTTTGCCTCCTAGTCTTGCGAAGCATTTAAAAGTTCAATCTGGGATTCCTTATGAAAAATTCCAGCAAAGCAGAATAAAAGAGTCTATGTGGTCAATCACTATTCTTGCTGCACTTATATAAATAGCCAGGCCAAGTGTAATGAAACTAGACTCATTTTTCAAATAAGTTAATCTTAATTTGTTTCTCTTTGGTAAAAATGAGGGTGATGTTGAGAGAGAAAAATTATATCTCAGTAATATTCTTTTGTGGATATTAGATTCTGTTGCTGGAGAAGCGGGTGCCGGAGAATGGTCATGTCCCATCTCTCCTGCGAGTTGGGAGAGTTCCTGGAGCGGGTTGCCAAATGAGGAAAGAATTCAAGAGCGAGCCGTAGTAAAGTGGAAGCGAGTTTACTTAGAGAAGTTTTTATGGGCTGGGTAATTACATATGCTAATGAGGGGGAAGAACATTCTAACAATTTAGAAGATGGGGTGGGGATTCCCAGGAATTGGGCCACCTCCCAGTTTTTGGCCTTTTATGGTCAGCCTCAGAACTCTCATGGCACCTGTGGGTGTATCACTTAGCATGCAAATGTGTTACAGTGAGCATATAATGAGGCTTAAGGTCTACTGGAGATCCAGTCTTCTACCTCGTTGGTTCTTGGGCCTAGTTGGTTCTAACTAGTTTTGTACATAATTAAATTTTGTTTTTCTCCTGTTACTCTCATGTCAATGTAATTATTAGGACTGTTACTGAGTCCAAGCTCGCTCTGCTCGCCACACGACAGGCCAATAAATAGGGAGACGAAGAGTTGGGGCAAGGAATAGTGACTTATTCAGAAAGCCAGCAGACCGTGAAGATGGCGGACTAGGGTCCCCAAAAAACCATCTTATTGGGGCCTGGATGCCAGTTTTTTTTATAGAACAGAGACGGGGAGGAGGTGAGGGAGTAAAGTAAAAAGGCCATTTATCTTGCAAAATCGGAGGGGATGTGTTAATTTCTTCTTTTCTGCAGCCATTCACAGGTGGGCAGGGTCAGAATGTCTCTCTGTGGGCTGAACAAAGGCCTTTTAGTTTAACAGTCAGGCAGAGGGGCATGGTTCCCTGTGGCAGGCCATTATGTATGCTTACAGCTATAGACAGTGATTATAATAACAAAAGCAAAGAAAAGCAAAGGTTAAAGTAAAAGAAACATATCCAACAAGGAGTCAGAATTGGCTCTTCCCTGTTATAGGCCAGCCAGAAGAACCTAGAAGGGTAGAGGAAAATTTTTCCTCCCCAACAGCATCAATAAGTTTCAAAACTCCACATGATTCCAATGTGCAACAAAATTGGAGTATAAGTAGATTACAACCTTGCTACTCAAACCGTGGTCGGTGGGCCAGGAGCATCCATAGAACCTAGGAACCTGTTAGAAGTGCAGATTCTTAGGCCCCACCCCATCCTGCTGACTCAGACTCTGCTGAAGCACAGGTCTCAAGTGCTTTATTTGCACGTTAAAGCTTGATAAGCACTGGATGGGATGCCCTTTAATGGGGCCTAATGGGGCCTGCTGGTTGTTAATCATTTCTGTAAATGGAGAAATCCCTGAATAATGTAGTATTAATGATCTTGGGAGGGGGAGGAGGGGTGGAGTGTGCTGAGAGCCAGACTGGAGAAAGCTGTTAAAGAGGCTTAAAGAAACTGAAAGGTTCTGGCTGATTGCTGTATCTGCATAGATTAATTTTCACACTGCCACAGACCTTCGAAAGAGTCTTACATAGTCCGAGGGGGTTTATTTCCATTGAAGGCTCAAAATGTGACAAGACAGCTCCAAATGCTTTGTGCTTATGGTTAATTTAATTCTCATGGCCACTTATGCTGCGGATGCTAATGATTCCCATTTTGCAGAAGTACAGGGAGGTTAAGAACCTGCCCACGGTCATCTAGCTATTCAGTGGCTGAATGATGGTTTTGTTGTGTTGATAGTTGTTGTCTTTCAAAATCAAAAGTCAGGTTTATTTTATAGTTGGTGTTGAGAAGAAGGAGTAAGGACCAAGGGTGTCAAACAGAAATTGTGCCCTGGAACAGTGCTGGGGCTTTGTACATCAACTCCACTTAACAGCCTGGCTTTCCTGAGGAGGCCAGGAGATTTGGGGGAAACAGGATTAAAGAGGAGTTTTTCTCCACTTCACTACTCCTATTCTAAGCCAAGGAGGGACCCTGACCCTACTCCTTCCCTCTCACCTCACTCTGCCCGGAGCATCAGAGCATCATGTCAGCCCAGTGACAAACAGTGAGGAAATTTCCTTCGAACACCGCAGGGCAGCTGCGGTTGCTGACCCCAGACCTGCAGGGCCTGACAATCTCCTATGTGGTCAACAGGTGCAAGAAAGCAGCTGCAGAAGAACTAGGGCGAGACCACCACAGACCTGCTATGCCCTGTCAAGAAATACCACCACCTTCCAGCCGTGTGTCAGAACCGAAGCTTTATTTTAATATTCTTATTTTCAGAATATCACTGGCAACTAGAAACTTGTATGCAAGAATGATTTTTACAACTGTAAATAAAATAGATAATGGAATTGTAACAGTAAATACACCTTAAATATAAATATACACATTGCTATCCCACATGTATAAAAGTCATGCTCTGTAAATGTTCTGTCCACACACTGTCTTTGTGGGGCACTGAATTCCAGGATGGATCTTTGAGGGTTTACATGTGTCCCATTAGTTATGGACATTTCCAGAGAGCTTATGTAGGAGCAACACATTACAAATTTTGAAAAAAAAATTAAGTATCACAGAGCATTTTTGGGGGATATTTAATACTTCTATAAAGAGAGCATTTCTTAAATATTACAAATGGTGAAACAAATATACTAGCTTACAGATATGTACAATGTACTACTTTATACTTCAAAATGCAGGAAGATAAATTATATATATTTTATATATATATAATTTTAGATCTAATGAACAATTCAATATTGCTCTTGTGTTGGTCTTGCTGTATTGCATGCATGCCCAGGGCACGCCCATGGCTTGTCACCAGATGGAAGAGGGATTGGCAGGGACAGAACGGGACCCATGGAGCCCCAAGCTTATTCCCGGAGTGCCATCTTCAAAGCAATATTTTGAGTTTTGTAACTTACTGTGGCAAGGTCAAAATCTTCTGTGTCCATCTGCAATGCAGGACGTGTCCTCAAGAACCACAACTACTTATTCGGGAACTGGCCCACATAAATGCTAAAAACATCTGGTTCAGTGGGACTAACTCCTCGAGCCCTGAATGTCCATTGGGGAGCTCCGAAAATATTATTTTGAGATAATCATCTATATCCCCAGTGCAGTTCATAAAAAATGATCTCAGAATAAAGACCCATGATTGAAGCATCAATGGCCTTCCAGTAAACTCACAGGCAAAATACAAAGGAAGAAAATGTGTCCTGAATGAGATCAGATTTTCAATAATTACAAGCTTCTCATATTGATCAAGCTGTAAACACTTAAAAATGTAGACACTGCCTTGAGAGGGCTAAATGAATTTCTAACTTGGATTAGGAAGAATGGGGCAGTGACAGGGAACCCACACACTGGGAGCCTTACGGACATAACAGCCTGTGGCAGACATCACATTTTACCATTAGTTTAACCCACCCAAGATCTCTAAAGTTCATTTTGGCCCTGAAGTCCTGTTTCTTCTTCCACTTAACCCATATCCAGACTACAAATGGATGACATCTCTCTGAGAATAGAAATAGAAAAAAAAAAGGTAGGGACAAGTTGAAAAGCAAATGTTCTAGAAAACACACCAATGAGATCTCACTGTGAAGGCTGTGGAACAGCCACTTGGAACAGAAGGAGCCCATCAGAAGGTGTGTCCATTGGGACTTGGAGAGGGATTTGGTGGCACCCAGGCCACTTCTCTACCCTCCCTGTCCAAGTTCTGTTCTAGGAGGCCAGAGAGGTGGGCTGACCATGGAGCCAATGGTTCTCAGAGTACCTCCCACACACTAAATACATCACAAGGACGAGTTATTAGCAGAGGAGAGGGGATGAGATGAAGGCAAGAAAATTTAACCAGAAAAAGGTTAATTTAGGATCTGTTGAGAGCACAGAACTGCCCAATAGTTGCTGTAGCAGGAGGCACAGGAAAGACACAGCAAGTGCAGGAGAGAAGGGTATGCGCAAACGTCCGAACTTGACCATCCTGCCCCAGCTGGGCGCTGCTGCCCAGAAGCCGAGAATCTCCCCTTACATGATCCTGAGGGCATCACTCTCTCTGCCTGCCAGGCAGGCAACAGGAAGGTGTGCTGAAAGGGAAAATTCCAGAGGAGGCCCGAGTGGGATGCAGACTGGAACAAACAGGAGAACTTACAGGCTCTGTCAGTGGGAATTTTCAGGAAGCAGAGCCAAAGCAGCCTTGAGGACGGCAGAAGAATAAGCTGAGTGGGCTATGCCCGGCCTGTGACAGAGCCTGCCGGACCCATTTCCACCTAGCATGCAGGAACCAGCAGTGGCCGTAATTTGGTTTGAAGGATTGAGGATGCACACGAGATCATTAGGAGGAAAAGATAATCATTTCCAGAGTGAACCCTGCATTGAACAGCTCTTAGAAGACATTTCTAATGGAACATGCACGACAATCTATTACTTGAATGCATTTCCCAGGAATATACTCGTTATAGATAATCATCAAAAACACAGTGAACAACCTTTGTTTCAACGTATTTCATTAAGATGCAAAGTATGGCACAGACATGTCCGTGTCTGTTAGAAAATGGATGTGGCTTTTGGTCTTCGGATGACCTTTGTTGGCTGTTACCCAGTTGGATACAGATCGAGTTACTGAAAAGAAGAAAATCATGTTGGAGGACAAAAATGTCTAAAAAATAGCTACTTTAATTGCTTTTATTTAAAATCTGAGGGCTGGAAGAGTTATACCCCTCATGGGTCAAAGGAAGGAAACTTCACATTTCTAAAACTCTCACAATATAACACACAGGAGCGTTATTGCAATGTTTTAGTATTGTCCACAATATCCTTACGCAAACATTTTAAACGGAAATTGAAGAATTTCTGACAGAGCGGCACACTCTTAGTGAATTCATCATTGTATGTGAAAAGAAATACCCTAAAAGGCTAAAACGATACCTGCTAATAACTAGACTTAGTGAGGTGAGGACCTCCCCTCAGAGTGGCAAGGCTCACAGGTCAGCTGGGAACTGACAGTGAACATCCTCTGGCGGGTAGAGAGGCTGTGTTATTTTAATTCAGTAAAAGAACCATGGGACCGAACAACTTTGGCCTGGTCTTCTCACCTCTTCCCACCCCTCCCCTCCCCAAGGGTTGTCACTGGCTTCTGAGCAGAGGGGATGCCTGGTCTGGGGGTGGTGCTTGCAGTTCTGGGTTAACATGCTCTCATATGTATGCAGATAGTATTTCCCCCTATCGGCACACGCTGCTTCCGAGGGCACAAGCCCTCATGCCTCCTGATGGTGAACGATGCCTCCAGAAATGTCTGGCACCCCATCCGGTTCCCTGCGATGCTGAGCATGTTAGTTTTCATTTTAAGCATTTGTCAGATTCCCTGATTCTGGAGAGGGGGTGCTTATTGGTGGTAGTGTAAAATGCCCTCTGAGGACAACAGCGCACATCTCGGTCAAAATGCAATATTTAACACGTGGGCATCTGACATGCTACCCTGACGACTGTGGGTTTCACGTGGAGGGGGAGGGGAGGAGAGGGAGACACACAATTGCTGCTCCCACGGGAGGGAGTTCACATGATCACGCACTTGCCCTTGAGCTTTTCTTTCCTCTTCTGCTGCTTGCTCTTTTTCCCATCGATCTGGAGGCTCACGGTCCTGCGCTTCTCCAGGTTGAGCAGCTCCTGGAAGAGCTCCTTCACATTGTGGTTGAGCTTAGCCGAGGTCTCCATGAAGGCGCACTTCCACTTGCGGGCCAGCACCTCGGCCTCACTGCTCTCCACCTCGCGGTTCGGGCTCTCGTCACACTTGTTCCCCACAAGCATGATGGGGATGCTCTCCACATCCCCTTTGATCTCACAGATTTGTTCATAGATGGGTTTGAGCTCCTCTAAGGACTGCCGGCTGGTGATAGAGTAGACCAGAATGAAGGCATGCCCTTTGGAGATGGACAGCCGCTGCATGGCAGGGAACTGGTGGCTGCCTGTGGTGTCCGTGATCTGCAGGGTGCAGATGCTCTTGTCACAGCTGATGACCTGCCGGTAGGTGTCTTCCACAGTGGGGATGTAGCTCTCCCGGAATGTACCTTTCACAAACCGCAAGACCAGAGAGCTCTTGCCAACACCACCTGCGCCGAACACGGCCACCCGGTAATCGTTGCTCTGCTCTGGCATGTTGCTTGAGGGCTCCAACGAGCAACTAGGAAGCACCTAGCAAAGGAACCAGATGTTGTTTGAAAGAATTAGTAAAAGAAAAATCTAGGAAAAGGTTGCTTTACCCTCTCTTGATAGCTTAAAACAAAATCGAAATGGTACAGTTTGCTTTCACTTTCCCAACACAAGAACAATTCAAATTTCATTTTATAATTCTGTAATTCTAAATCCAATAATTATAGCTAATCCCCAGTTTTCAACAGGGCTATTGATCTACTGAGTGGCTAACTGGAGCCAGTCTATTCCTCCTTATTGGACCATGGTTCTGAGCAGCTTTGCTCTCACATCACCCTGTGCTCAGGGAAAAGATGCCAAGTCAGCCCAAGGGAAGCAGAATCCAGGAAAGGTAATGGGGAGATGGAAATTAACCAAGCCCCAACATACACACACACACACACACACACACACACACACACACACACACACACACACACTCACAATCACAATCACAGCAGATCTTTACTATTTAACCTGAAGTACTGTGAACACCCAATATACTGGTCATAATATGTAATTTTTTAAAAGTACAAGGAGGGGGTTAAAGGCGAGGAGAATGCAATTTTTACTCAGTGTTTATGTTAACTCATGAAATCCTCACCAGCCTGCAGAACTGGTGTCATTATCCCTGTTGTGAAATGAGGAAACACAGAAGGAATAGGGGAATGTAATGTCCCCGACTTCACACAGCCAGCGAGAGGTGAGGCAGGGATGCAAACTGCAGTATCTCTGTCCCACAGGTTGCTGGACAGAGAGCTGGTCACAGGGGCCTGGGCACTACTCAGGCCATGGTGTGGACTCTCATTTAGCAGTAGAAGTTGACAGTTAACTAAGAAGCTTGGAGGGTCCTTTTATTAATCAAATTTAAAATGATTATGGGTGCTCTATTTTTAAGAATTATAAGAAGTCAAGTGTTACTAAGACAGTGATATAAACCACTATTAATGGTCATTAAAATGGAGTAGAATGGGGTTTCCCTTCATCACAAACATCACCCGTTTCCTGACATACAGATTATCAAACATCTTTCATCCCGTTCCTTCTTTGGTAAGAAAGGACATATGACATGCAAAAAAGTAGACAGTCAAGAAAACAGCCAACATTTTTAAAACAAAGTAGACACGTAATACGGTAATGCGAAGCATGGAACCCATTTTCTCCAGGCAACATTGTGCTGACTATCACTTTTCTAATCTTAGAGTAACCAAGGGACAGTAATAAAAGGCATTGCTCAAAGTCATTCTCAGAGACCAGTAAAAATTAAATATAATTAGCCATGGAAGGAAATGGTATGTGCAGCTAATGTCTACTGGCAGACAGATCAGATCAAAGCCCAGGACTGTGGCATCTCATCTCCTGATTTTTTTCTGAGTTCACCATGTACATCTGACTGCAAATCTGCTCAATTAAATACTCAGCTGTTCTGTGTGCACTTGGTATCCCTAACCTTGCAAAAAAACGAAGAAGCATCTATATGTATATACATATATATGTATGTATGTATAACTGATTCTCTTTGCTGGACACCTGAAACTAACACAACATTGTAAATTAACTATACTTTGATGTTTTAAATGGTTACAATTTTTTTAAAAAAAGAACAAACTGGACCCAAAGGAAGAAAAATGAAAGATTAGATAACAGTGGAAAGTAATAAAGAATAGAAAACCAACAGAAAAAATTAATAGAACCAAAATCTGTTTTTTTGAAAATATCAACAAAATTAATTTTTGCACTAGACTGAACAAACAAAACAGTGAAAAGACTCAAATTATTAAAATCAGGAATGAAAGAGGAAACATTACTGATCTTGCAGAAATGAAGATTACAAGGGCATGACCAACTGTAAGCCAACAAGTTAGATTCCTCAGATGAAACAGATGGAAACTACTCAAGTAGACACAAGAAGAAATCTAAAATATGAATAGAACTTTAATTGAATAGTAATCAAAAAACTATCTAAAAAGAAAATGCCCAGGTCCAGATGGCTTCACTGGTGAACTCCAACGAACATTTAAAGAAGAATTAATACCAATTCTTCACAGTCTTCCCAAAAACTTAATAGGAGGAAACACTGCTTAATCTTTCTGAATCCAATATTACCCTGATACCAATACCAGACAAAGATGTCATGAGAAAACTACAGACCCGTTTCTCTTATGAATATAGATATAAAAATCAACAAAATACTAACAAATTGAATCCATCAATATACAGAAAGATTATACATCATAACCAAGTAGAATTTATGCCAGCAATGCAAAGTTGGTTTCATATCTATACATATATATATATATATATATATATATACATATATATATATATAAAACATGTATATAACGTAACACACCATATCAATAAAGGACAAAAACCATGATACCTCAGTAGATACAAAAAATTGACAAAATTCAGCACTCCATTATGTTAAAACAAAAACACTTAAGCCAGCAATGAAAGGGAACTTCCTCAACCAGATAATGAGCATATAATGAAAAATACCAAACTAACACAATACTTAATGGTAAAAGATTGAATGCTTTCTCCCTAGGATCAGGAAAAAGAGTTTCCACTCTTACAGCTTCTATTCAACATTTTGCTGGAGGTTTTAACCAGGAGAATTAGGCAAGCAAATGAAATAAAACCATCCAGATTGGAAAAGAATGAAACAAAACTATATTGCAGGTGGCATGACTTTGTAGATAGAATATCCTAGGGACTCCACTAAAAACTATTAGAACTAATAAAATAGTTCAACAAGTTTTCAGAATATAATACCCATTTAAAAATTAATTGTATTTCTACACACTTGAAATGAACAATCTAAAATTAAGAAACTAATTCCATTTACAATGTCATGAAAAAGAATAAGATACTTAGGAATAACCTTAACAAAGAAGTACAAAATGTATACTCTGAAAGTTACAAAATATTGTTGAAAGAAATTGAAGACCTACATTAGTGGAAAGACATCCATGTTTATGTATCAGAGGACTTAATTTTGTTAAGATAGCAATAGTCCCTGAATCACCTACACATTCAGTGCAATCCCTAAGAAAATCCCAACTGACTACTTTACAGAAATTAACAAGCTGATCCCAATATTCACAGGAAAATTCAAGAGACCCAGAATAGTCAAACCAATGTTGACTGAAAGAAAAAAAGAACAAAGTTGGAGAACACATACTTCATGATTTCAAACTCACTACAAAGCTACAATAATCAAGACAGTGTGAGATTGGCACAGGATAGACAAATATATGAATGAAAATCTTCAGAGTTGAGAAATAAACTCTGACTTTTACAGTCAACTTATTTTTGAGAAGGATGTCAGAAAATTCAATAGAGAAAGAATAGTCTTTTCAACAAATGATGCTGGACAACTGATATTCACATACAAAGGAATGAAATTGGATCCCTCCCTTATACCATATACAAAAATTAACTCAAAATGGATCAAAGACCTAAATGTAAGACCAAAAACTATAAAACTCTTAAAAGAAAATATAGGCATAAATTTGTGATCTTTGATTTGGCAATGGTTTCTTAGATGTGATATCAAAAGCATGGACAAGATTAAAAATAGGTAAATTTGATTTCAAGAAAGTAATAGGCAACCCAGAGAAAGGGAGAAAATTTCTACAAATCATATATCTTACAAGTGATTAATTCCAGAACATATAATAAACTCCTGTCATTCAATAACAGCAAGGAAAACCCCAAAACTAAAAATGAACAAAGCACTTGAATAGACATTTCTCTAAAGAAGCTATACCAATGGACAATAAGCACTTGAAAAGATACTCAACATTACTGTTACTAATTATTAGGGAAATGCAAATCAAACCACAATGAAATACCACTTCACTGCCACTTGGAAGACTTTAACAAAATCACAAATTAAAAAAAAACAAAAACAGAAAATAACAAATGTTAGCAATGTTGTAGAGAAATTGGAACCCCTGTGCATTGCTGGTTTCAATGTAAAGTGGTATAGCTGCTTTGGAAAACATTCTATCACTTCCTCAAAAGCTTAAACAGAATTACCATAAGGCCCAGTGTTTTCCATAATTCTATACCCATGGGAAATGAAAACATAACCACACAAAAAATTGTATGTGAATATTCATAGCAACATTATTCATAATAGCCAAAAAGTGGAAAAAACCCAAATGTTCACCAACTAATGAAGGGATAAGTAAAATGTGGTAGATCCATACAATGAAATATTATTCAAGAATAAATAGATATGAAGTACTGATACACACTACAGCATGGTTGAGCCTTGAAAATATGATGCTAAATGAAAGAAGCCAGTAACAAAAGACCACACATATTGTATGATTCCATTCATATGAGACATGCAGAATTGCAGATTTATAGACAGAGAAAGGATATTTGTGATCGCCTAGGGTTGGGGTGACATGGGCATTGGGGAGAAATGGGAAGTGACTGGACAGAGTTTCCTTTTGAGTGATGAAACATTCTAAAACTGACTGTGGTAATGACTGCATGACCCTGTGAATATACCAAAAACTACTAAAGCGTCTACTTTAATTGGGTGAATTATATCTCAATAAAGCTGTAGTTTTAAAAAAAGACATTGTATAGGGCAGCATTCCACTGTATGTGATAACATTGTCTACTGATTCTGAAACTGATTCGATGGGAGAAATAATGTGCTAAACGTTAACAGGCTCAGCTTTATTCCTAATAGCCAGATGATGGAAACAACACACATCTTCACAGTAGAAATGATAAGCAAAGAATGGAATATTCATACTATAAAAAGAAATACACTGAATTAACTTATTCATGCCATAAGAAAAAGCAACACAAAGAACAATACAAAGAATAATACATGCAACAACCTGGTTGAATCTGACAGTTGAGATGTGCTAGGCAGCCTGCTGGGTGCTAGAAATGTGCATATTTTCACATGGGTGGTGGTTACAAAGGTGTTAACACTACACTGTTATAAGGTGGTTATACAGATTATTCTG